ATCAGCGGAATTGCTGCACCAACATAATCTTGAATTCTTCCAAAACCCCATTTCTGATTCGCTGATCATGGGAATCCGAAGCTCTTGCAAATTTTAGAAACGGATGTGCGCGCCGCTAAGGCGAGAGCCACATTTTGAAAAGGAACCGCCCACGACCCGTGAAACTGTTGCAAATGTTGAACAACGATTAAACCGCGGCGCTAAGGCGAGAGCCACATTTTGAAAACGATCCGCCCTCAACCCATGAAACTATTGCAGATGTTCAAATCGAATGTGCGCGGCGCTCACGCGGGAGCCACATTTTGAAAACCACCCGCCCGCAACACATGACATTCTTGCAAATGTTTAAGACGAGTGTGCGCGGCGCTGAGGCGAGAGCCACAATGTGAAAACCACCCGCCCTCCATCTAAACTGTTGTCAGCTTTTAAGCTTCATGGTTGTAAATAGTGGGGAAGTCTCAGGCGAAACGCCCGGCCCGCCCTAAAAACTGGCATCGGGGTGCGACAGGGAGAAGTTATTTTATAAGGAAAATGAATGGAGGGCCAACAGAAAGGCTTGAGGCCTCTTGGATGCCTTTTTCGGAGTCTCGTCGGATTCTTTCCGAGAGTTTCGTGGAGGCCTTTTGGGGCGTTGTAGGGGTCTTTCGGCAGTCCTGGGGGCCTTTTGGGACGTCTTTGGTGCCTCTGGGGGAGCCTGTTGGAGGTCTTTTGGAGCCTCTTTGGGGCATTTGTGGAACCTCTTGGGGGCCTCTTGGGCCTCTGGGGCACCTCTTGGGGCTGTTGCGGGACACCCTTTGGAGCCTCGGCGGTAATCTTGGGGCCATATTGTAGGAGATCGATCAAAAGAGGAACCGTAGAACATTAGCATCCCCTTCCCAGGAGAATAACAAACAAACATTGGTTTTGGTTTTCCCGCCGATGCCAAGGAAAACCCTCTAACACTGCCAGACCCCCTTGTCCAGGACCAGGGCAAGGGGGCACGGGGGAGGGGTCAAGACACCCGACCGCCCGCAAGCTGTCTCGCTCACTCCCACCCGCCCTCCCAACACATAAGTAGCATCCGGGCCTCAGCATGTTCAGCGGTCGTCTATGGATGGGCAGCTACTGAGAACCAAAAAAACCATGTGCGCGATGGGGCGAGGTGCGGGGAGGCCATCATGGAGTCTGGTGGGCCTTCACACAGCAGGCAGTATGCCAGCACCCCCGCGGTCCTTGTCAAACACCAATTGACAGTGATCGCGGGGTGGCCGCGCACGACCCAGATTTAGCCACGACGGGCGTGTCGTATTGATGTTTGATTAGGATGGTGGCGTTGCGCAAAGCAGGCGATCTGAGTTCACCCCCCCGTCGTCCCTGTCAAATCACAATGCAATGTGTTCTTGGGGCCCACGAGCATGACAAGAGGTTGCCCCAAAGTGTGCTTCGTATTGTTTTGGACTGGGATGAGGGGGGTCGCATTGGCCCTGGTTTGCTGCCGGTCGCCTGGGGGGTTATTGATAGGGGAACAGTGAAATCGTGATAACCTTTCCCCGAAGGGGAAAATTGGGGTTGGAAGAGGAAAGTTTCCAAACCACTCACGCCCTAAAGGGCTGTTGTGATTCCGCATGCTATAGATCAGGCTTCCGCGTGGTCACCGTGCGAAATCTCAGCCGTGAAATTCTAAAAGGAGGGCCCCCCATCCTCTCTCGGGGGGAGAACAGCGCTCTTGGCGGCGAAAGATCATTATGCTTCCCTCCTCGGTATTGCGATCCCCGGCGCCGGCGCCCGTGGACTCCTCCACAGGCGGCGCTTTCGTTTCGCTTTGTTTCGTTGCTTTCTACTATTCGCGAGATGTGGAGGCTTCCAATGATCTTTGGCCGCTCGAACATGTATTATGATTGGTCCCAGGATCTTTCCATAGCACCCCGCAGCTGCGGATGAGAGTGAGGGGGCGGCGGGGTCGTCGGCAGTCTGCGAGGCTCTGAGGAAGCCCGCCGCAGGCGCTGATTTTTTTACACATTACACAACGAGCCCGCCGCAGACACCGTCTTTTTGGTCAAAGCAAGATGTTTGGGTCGCAGGGTGGGTCCTGGGATGGTCGCGGGGTGGTCGCGGGATGGCTCGCGGGTGTATCGCGGGCGGGTCGGGTCGCGGGCGAGGACGACGACCACAATTTCAACACGACCAGAATCCGCGGGACGGAACGCCGCTTTTGCCGCGCGCCCAGCACCCATGGGGCAATGAGCGATCTCTCGTTCCCCATCACTCCTGATAACACGCGGGCTCACCTTATTTTGGGTTTTGGAATGAGCGCGGGGGGTACCCCTCCGACGGAGGTCAACCTCGCCTCGTCGTCGAGCCGCGACGGGGGTCGGAGCGCCTCTGGCGCGCGGTGGCTGCCCGCGACGGGGGTCGATGTGGGGCTGTCGGCGGGGGTGCCCCCCGACGCTTACTAAGAAACTCGCAGTGCTCTCGAGAACGAACGCCCCCCTCCCCGTCGCGTGCCCTCGAGTAGGGCCAGCGCTTCGCGGGGAGAGGGGGGGGGCCGCGACGACTTCGGCCAGACTGGGTGGGGGGGGCCCGCGGCCGCGGAGGGGCCCGCCAGGAGGGGGCCCCTGGTCGAAGATCGAGGGGGTGAGGGATCAAGGATCGAGGATCGAGGAGGTGGGGATCGAGGAGGAGGAAAAGGAGGAGGAGGAGGTGGGGATCGAGGAGGAGGAGGAGGAGGAGGAGGAGGAGGAGGAGGAGGAGGAGGAGTTGGAGGTAGAGGATCGAGGCTCGAGGCTCGAGGCTCGAGGCTCGAGGAGGAGGAGGAGGAGGAGGATCAAGGGGCACGAGGAGGAGGAGGAGGAGGAGGAGGAGGAGGAGGAGGAGGAGGAGGAGGATCGACGACACCAGCTGCCTGCTAGGTTACTCCAAGCCCATGCGGGCCCCCTTCTGTTTCCGTCGTTGTGTGCGTCTCCTTCTACCTGCATTGCTCGCAGCAGTACTGATGCCGCATCGCCTAAGTCGGCCGTCTGGTGTTGTGTTTGGCCGCTCAGACGCTGCGATCATCAGCCGATTACGTAGAGTCCGTGCAACGTAAAAAAAAGAGGAGGATCGCTTGCCTGTTGTTCTACTGCGCTAACCTTGGTTCTGCCTTCCTTTCATGTGTGGTCACACGCCCAAGTCGGGATTTTCATAGACGCCACAACTGTGCACCTAAAGTTCGAACAGCGTTAAAAGGAGGAGGAGGAGGAGCCTAAGCCCGCGCGGTTCCCGCTTTCGCCTCTCCGAGCGCCGCCAACGTCGAGGATTTATTCCCGCGCGCAGGCCCGCGCCCGCTCAGGACGCCCCCTCCCCCCTTCCCCTACTTGTCCTCGAGGAGGCCTGCCCGGAAGCCTCTGCGCAGGGAGGGACGACCGCCGTCGGTGGCGCCCGCCGAAGGCCGGCGTCGTCGGCGACGTGCGCCGTCGACGTCGTCGTCGTCGTCGTCGCCGTCGTCGTCGTCGTCGTCGTCGACGTCGTCGTCGTCGTCGCCGTCGTCGTCGTCGCCGTCGTCGTCGTCGTCGTCGCCGTCGTCGTCGTCGTCCCCCTTTTCCTCCGCCTCCTCCTCCTCGTCCTCCTCCTCCTCCTCCTCTTCCTCGTCCCACTTCCCCTCCTCCTCCTCCTCCTCCTCCTCCTCCTCCTCCTCCTCCTCCTCCCTCCTCCTCCTCCTCCTCCTCCTCCCCCTCCTCCTCCTCCTCCTCCTCCTCCACTCCTCCTCCTCCTCCTCCTCTCCTCCTCCTCCTCCTCGTCCTCCTCCTCCTCCTCCTCCTCCTCCTCCTCCTCACCCTCCTCCTCCCCCTCCTCCTCCTGCTTCTCCGCCTCCTCCTCCTCCTCCTCCTCCTCCTCCTCTCCTCCTCCTCTTGCTCCTTCTCCTGCTCCTCCTCCCGAGAAGGCGCGATGCACTCCGAGAGGGCTCCCCCTGTTCTGCGCAGAAGGCCGGCCCGCCCCGTGCGGGGGGGGCCCTCGGCCTGGGCCCTTCTGCCACAGGCAGCCTCGCGATTCGGCGCCGCCCCTCCTCCTCGTCCTCGTCGTCCTCCTCCTCCTCCTCCTCCTCCTTCTCCTCCTCCTCCTCCTCCTCCTCCTCCTCCTCCTCCGCCTCCCTCCTCCTCCTCCTCCTCCCCCTCCTCCCCCTCCTCCTCCTCCTCCTCCTCCTCCTCCTCCTCATCCTCCTCCTCCTCATCCTCCTGCTTCTCCTCCTGCTTCTCCTCCTGCTCCTCCTCCCGAGGAGGGCGCGATGCACTCCGAGAGGGCTCCCCCTGTCTGCGCAGACAGCCGCCCCGTGCGGGGGGGGGCCCTCGGCCGGGGCCCTTCTGCCACAGGCGGCCTCTGCGATTCGGCGCCGCCCCCGCCCCGGGAGGTCCACCGCGCGGTGCTCGGGTCGTGCTCCCCGGTGTTCCTGGCGATGTTCAAGACGGGCGGGATGCGCGAGGCTGCGGAGCACTGCGTCGTCGTCATTTTCATCAGCATCACCATCACCATCACCATCACCATCACCATCACCATCATCATCATCATCATCATCATCATCATCATCATCATCATCATCATCATCATCATCATCAGCATCAGCATCAGCATCAGCATCGTCATCATCGTCATCGTCATCGTCATCGTCATCGTCATCGTCATCATCATAATCATAATAATCATAATTTTAATATTAATAATAATACTAATAATAATAATCATAATAATAAGAATAATAATAATAATAATAATAATAATAATAATAATAACAATCATCATCATCATCGTCAGCATCAACATCATCAACGGCAACACCATCATCGAAATCATCATGGCCATCATCATCATCAGCATCATCATCACCATCACCATCATCATCATCATCATCATTATTATTATTATTATTATGGTTGTTCGCTTTGTTATGGTTAGTTTAATGATTATGATGATTAGTATTATCATTACTATTACTGTTATTATTATTATTATTATTATTACGACTACTATTATTTTTTTCATACTTAGTACTAGTAGTATGATCGTTATTATTAGTCGTAGTATTATTAGTATGAATATTACTAGTATTGTTGCTGTTATTTTTATTATTATTACATTATTGTCATCGTTCTTCTTCTCATTATTATTATGACTATTCTCATCGAGGCTGCGGGGCACTGCGTGGAGATCGGGAACGCCACGCTCGCGACGGTGCAGGCGGTGCGGCTCTGCTCTGGCTGCCGCGTCTTCGTCGCCTCGTGCCCCGCCCCCCTTCTCCCTCCATGAGTAGGGGTGCTTCTCCACGACCCTTTCCCCCTCCTCCTCCCACCCTCTCCTCCGCCATTCTCCGTCCTCCGTCCTTCATCCTGCTCCCCCTCCCCCTCCCCTTCCTCGTCCCCCCTTCTCGTGAGCCGCCCCCCCCCTTCTTTCGACGCTCCCCCTTCCTCCCCAGCCCCTCCTGCCACCCTCCTCCCCCCCCTCCTCCCCCCCTCGCCTCCCCCCCTCCCCTCCACAATTACTCAATATGATGCTACTCTCCCTCTTCCCCTGATGGCGTGCTGGGAGTAGTAGACCCCCCCCGCGTATTGTTTTTGTACACGCAGGATTTCCGGGAGTTGGGTTTTCGCCTGCGTGTTTTTTCAAAATGCTGCTCTCGTTGAGGCGCCGGCCTCATTTCTGCTCCCGAATCGTTCCGGATCGTGCTCCCGCTGCAGCGTGGGCCTCATTTTCGGATCGGTGCTTTGCCTCCGTCGTTCAGGATGGCGTTCTCGCCCCAGCGCGGGCCTCTTTCTCGCGCGCCCATCCGCCCGCCACCACCGCGCCGCACCACGCCCCGCCCCGCCGCACGCACACCCACCGCAACTTCCACCCACCAACGCACGCACGCACGCACGCGCACCACCACCGCGCACCGCCACCACCACCGCACTACCCCACCCACCACCACCACGCTACACCGCGTCACACCACATCATACGCGCGCACACACAGACACACACGCACGCACGCACACAGACACACACACACACACACCACCACCGTCACCACCACCACCGCCATCACGCACGTACGCACCTGGCCCACCACCAAACCACCAAGACGCCACACCACGTCACACCACAGCACACGCGCACACACGCACACACACACACACACATACACACCACCACCACAACAACCACAACCACGCACACACGCACGCACGCACGCGCACCACCACCCACTACGCACACGCGCGCGGAGCCACAGGTCCGCTACGACACGCGTCCGCGGATAGAGAAAATCAGCGCCATGGTAAGGGATGGGAGGGAGGGGTAGGATGTCAGATGTTGACGCGAGCGCACCTAACTTGCCTCCCCCCCTCCCCTCCTCCCCCCCTTCCCTCCTCCCCCCCTCCTCCCCCCCTCCCCTCCCCCCTGCTTTCCTCGGGCCTGGTGCCTCATGGCGAGCTCGGGTCTGGTGCCCCATGGCGAGCTCGGGTTCGGGGCTGGGTGCCCCTCCTCGCACTGAGGGTCTGGCGTGCGGGATAAGATCAGGAAGCGGAAAAAACACACAGACACAATTCATCGTCGATTCCCAGGAAAAATATTGGAAACAGACGAAAACCCAGAGAATATGGGAAGAGATGGGGAGTCCTGTTATTTGTGTGTGTATGTACTTGTGTGTCACAGGGCCCCTTCACAATGCCCGATCCGAGCGACCCTCCTTCCTCCCCATCTTCGTCCCGCGGAGCTGGGACCCACTGCCGCCAGCAGCGCTGCGGCACCTCCTCTACAGCCACGGGGGCAGGCTCCGGCGCAGCAGAGGCGCCCCCACCACCGCCACGAGGGCCGTGCCCCACGGTCGTCCCCGCCTGTGGCGCGTCGAATCCCAGCTAAATCATCCTGGTAGGGTCCATTTCGATCCGATCGATGGTGATTGCAAAGGCCTTCCGGCCGGCGCCGCCGACCCTGAAGACGGCGACCACGAGGACGACGAGGATGCTGAGCACCTCCTGGATCCGTCTGGGCGCCTCCTGGGGCCCTCTTGGGGCGCTCTCGGGAGCCTCAGGGGCGCTCTTGGGGCCCTCCTGTCGGAGATCAATCAAAGAAGAGGGGGTCCTCTTGGTGAGGCCCATCTCGATCCGATCGATGCAGAGTTCGCCTGGCTCGGTTTGATTCAGTTCTGATGTTCGGGAATCCGACCCAGCCCGATGCTTGCGCGGCTTCGTTGTGTACCTTGGCGCGGCCGAAATCCTTCGATTTCGACTCCGGGCCGAAGCAGCCAGATCTGGCGCAGGTTCCGACTCGATCCGACCAGCTGATTCCGCTCAGAATCGGACCACGGACCCCTCCTGTAAGGAGGGAAATAACACACAGACACAATGAATATTCGACTCCCCGAAAATATGGGAAGTGTAGGGGAAGACGAAAAAAGATTGGAAAACATGGAATCCTGGGATTTGTGTGTATTTATTTGTGTGTCCCCGGGCCCCTTCATCCTGCTGCCAATCCTGGCCTACTGGTCTCTTGGCCCGTGTTCCGAGGCGGATCCAGCCGTGGCGACGAGGAGCTTCCTGGAGGCTTGATCTGGCTTCGGGTTTTACGAGCCAGTGTGTTGAGACCGTCAGTTCCCGACGTCATGATTTTCTCATGGCATGGGCTTCCAGAGGTTGGACCCCTTCCAGGGCACCCGCTTTACATCTCGAGCTGTTTCTGACGGCCCCGGGGCCCGGCAGGGGCCCCCAGAGGTGAAACATTGCGAAGAGCTTCCCCCCTTGTTGCGGTGCCGAGGCGCTGCATGCCTGGGCTCCTTCCGCAAGATCTCCAGATCCGGTGATGCCTGATCCTACCCTTAGGTCGGGCCTGTCCCCCTACAGGGAATGTTCGACGAAAAATAAAAATTATCCCAGTGCGACCCTACCTAGGAGTTGGAGCCTCTAGGAAAGCAACATTAGTAGGAGCGGTAATCGCCGTCCTCCTCCTTCTCCTCATCGTCATCGTCATGTTGCTATGATATGCTATGCTATGCTATGCTATGCTATGCTATGCTATGCTATGCTATGCTATGCTGCGCAATGCTATACTGGGCTAGGCTAGGCTAGGCTAGGCTAGGCTATGCTATGCTATGCTGCGCTATGCTATGCTGCGCTATGCTATGCTATGCTATGATATGCTATGCTATGCTATGCTATGCTATGCTATGATTTTGTTTTGCCTTCGCTTTTGCCTTCACTTGTGCCTTTGCTTTTGCTTGGCACCCAGGGAGCGCAACTGGGGTAACCGCGCGTTTGCTTTTACCTTTGCTGTTGCTTCTGCTTGGCTCCCAGGGGACCAGGGGAACCGCCCGGGGCGCTTTCCACTGCCCGGCCCCTTTAAGCAAACAGAGTAAGAACCCTTCTAGGCAGAGCCTAGGTAGGGAAATACCCCCCAACTACCCCAAGATGGTTAAACAAATCCCCAAAAATAGTCCCCAGACTATTTTTGGACAATTTTTGGGAGTAGTTTGGGGGTACTTTTTATTTCTCGTCGAAAGTCCCCCTGTAGGGCGACAGGCCCGACTTATTAAATCCAGCGCCGGACTGCATCTCGAGTGACAAAGATGCGCCGCGTCAGTGCGGGAAGAACGCCACTTGCGGGCGAGGTCTGCGCGGCGCCGCGGCGCAGCAGCCACACTGTCTCCGCCCGCGCGCGCGTCGCCGGAGCGGCGTGCGAGACCTGCGCGCCGCACCCCGGCGGGAGCTCGGCCCTCGGCTAAAAAGGAGCTCGGCCCGCTGGGCAGGCCTTCGTGCAGTTTCTGTACCTGCACGACGTGCCCGCCGACGCGGACTGCTGCGAGCTGCTGCGGCTGGCCGACCAGTACCAGGTGGAGCCCCTCGTCGAGCTCTGCTGCGAGAGGCCTCGGGCGGCCCAGGGCGCGCGGAGGAGGAGGAGGAGGAGGAGGAGGAGGAGGAGGAGTAGGAGTAGGAGGAGGAGGAGGAGGGGAGGAGGAAGTGAGGAAGAGGAGGAGGAAATGAGGAGGAGTAGGAGGCTAGGGAGGAGGAGAGGAGGATGGGGTGAGGAGGAGGAGGAGGAGAGGAGAGGATGGAGGGAGAGCGGAGAGGAGGAGAGGGGAAGGAAGGAGGAGGAGGAGGAGGAGGGAGGGAGGAGGGAGGAGGAGGAGGAGGAGGAGGAGGAGGAGGAGGAGGAGGAGGAGGAGCAGCGTGAGACGGCCGAGAGGGCCAGGACTCGCGAGGGTGGTCCTTGACTGCCCCCCTGGGACGCCAGCAACGAATGTTTCACACCAGGACCTGTGTCTGGGGATGCGGGGCCCGTTAGAGAGGCTCGAGGTGACAGAGCCGAACAGCGGGGGTTCAAGATCTGTACGGTCAACGGCTCCTGCTGGAATGCCACTTCTGAGTTCCTGAAATCGTGCAATGCGTCTATTGTGCTAGTCCAGGAGCACAAACTAGTTCTGAATCGTGTGTTTGAAGTGAAAGCCGCCCTTTTGAAGCGTGGGTGGGCTTCTTTTTGGGCCCCTTGTCTGCAAGGTAGGAAGGGGTTCCCGAGCGCGGGGGTGGCCATTGTGTACAGGAAACATATTGATCTCTGGGTGGACCCCCGTACCCTTGGCATAATTTCCCCTGGTCGAATTTTACAGTGTTTTTTCAGGTCTCGGTCTTTCGGGCTCTTGAGCATCTTCTGCAATTACTGGCACTCTGGATCGGGCCTGGGGCCAGAAAACGTGTTGCTGGGGATGGCTTTGGGCAAGAGCGTTCTGGAGATCGGGACCCCGTTCATCGCAGGAGGTGACTTCAACTTGGAGCCAGCAGTGTTGTCAAGCGGCCTGGCACCAGGGCGATATGGAGGGCAGATCGTTCAGCCAGAAGACTTCACTCTGGTACAACCAGATCACGCGGCAATTCTAGATTATTTTATATGCAGCCACTCGCTCAGCTTCGGGGTGCAGTTCTGCGAGGCAGATCTGGGAGCAGCAGTGCCGCCGCACCGCCCTGTTCACCTTGGCCTGGCTGAGGACACGGGGGCGATAATGGTTTCCAAACTTGCTCGGATCCAGCGCCTCCCTCACCAGAGGCCTGTGGGCCCTCCCCCAGCCCCGCCTTCGTTTGGTGACCTTCAGGCCGCTCTTGCAGGACCCCTGGAGGACCTCAGGCTGGACGACGGGGGGCTTCAACCTGTTCCGGGTGCTCGACTGGACGAGTTTCAGCAAATTCTGGACCGTGTTTACCAGGAAGGAGGAGGAGAGAGGGGGAGAGAGGAGGAGAGAGGCGAGAGGAGGGAGAAGCCAACGCTGAGGATGTCCGTGGGCTTCCTGGAGGGTCCCCGTTTGTCTTCGAGTCTGTCTCGCTGGCCAAACTTCTGATCACCAAGAGCAGCCCGTTCAAGTCTGTATCACGTGCTGTGGGCTGGGTGGCTAGGCGTTTGCAGGAGTTCCTAGCCCTTTTTCGGAAGCACGGCAGCCCGAACAGTGTGCCATACTATCTTAGACTGGTGACCCATGCTGCACGTGGGCGGAGGCTCCCTTTTATGCGCCTATGGCCAGAAGGTGAGCCGTTTTGGAAGCCGCTCATGCAGTATGTGGGCAGGAAGTTGTTATCGCTTACGTCTGAACCGTGGCTTGAAGCTGAACTCGAGTTGAGTGCTTGGGCGAGTTTCGCGGCCAGGATCGAGCAGCAGGCGTTCAAGGTTGAAAAGACCCACAGCAACCAGAAATGGTCTGACTGGTGCTCGGAGGCTCTTCAAGGGGGGGCCCGATGGGCCCACGCTTACACCAAGGTTGCGACTAACTTCAAGGAGGATGTTATTCAGCTGGAGGAGGGAGGTTTTACGAGCAGCTTCAGTGCCAGGTTCGCGGCTCAGCAGAATCTCTGGAAAACTGCCTGGAAGGCGGAGGAGACCCGCAAGGAGCCCCTGCAGTTGCCCCTCCCTCCCGACTATGTCATCCCTGAGGCGCCCTCTGCAGATACCTTGAGGAAGATTTCGAGAGGCTTCAAGGCGAACACGATAGCGGTTGACGGGTTTCATCCTCGACACTATGCGTACCTCTCCGACGAGGCACTCGAGACAATGTCTTCCCTTTTCTCGCTGCAGGCGGCAATAGGCCATGCACCATCCCCATTGCGAATCTTGCTCGTGCAACTGTTCCAGAAGCCCGAGACAGGGAGGCGGCCCATAGGCTTCTTCCAGAGCTATTCTCGGATCTACTCGAAGGTCTCGGCAGGTTTTTGCAAGGAGTGGGAGACTCAGCTGGAGGATGGAGGAGTTTTTAACATGGCACCTAGGAGAAGTACCACCGATGGAGTTTGGAGGCAGGCGGTTAGAAGTGCTTTGGCGGACGAGAGTGGGATGAAGGTAGGTATTTTGCTGGCTGACCTTCTGCAGTGCTATGAACATGTGCGTCACCTGTCACTGTGGGAGGAGTGCAAGCTCGCGGATTTCCCACTGCACGTTTTGCGCGCCGCCATCTCCAGCTACAGGTGGCCAAGAGTGATTATGATGGATCGTGTCTGCTCTCCTCTCCTCTACCCCGACCAGGGAATTGTTGCGGGAAGCAGTACAGCTACCTTTGAGATAAAAGCGTTCATGGTGCCCATGGTCCAGGATCTAGAGCCCATTGAGAACACAAGCTTCACGATCCATGTTGATGACCTCGAAGTGGATGGAGCCCACAGAGAGGTAGCAGGTTGTTTGAATTGCATTGCGCAGATGGCAGGACAACTTTTCAGTGCGTGTGCCAACCGTCTAGGGCTCCCGATCTCGCTGAAGAAAGGTTGCTTCACTTCCAACTCGAAGGATGTCATGGAGGGGGCTCAGGAGTGTTTTGGCCAGTACGCGCACACGCTCACGGGGGAGGTGGTGAACTTGGGGGTGGACTTCTCCATTGGCTCTAAGGTCTCGAGTTTGCCCAACAAGGTCCACTCCGTCAAAGGTCCCCGTGTGTGCTCCAAAAAGGTCCCCAACTTGGCTAAAAGGCGCAGTAGGTGGTCTAAGGCTCTCAGGAGGATGCCCAAGATCAGGAACCTCAGAGGAAAAGCTGGATCCAAGGCCAAGTTGTTTTTCGTGGGACAGAAGCCGAGCATGACGTATGGCAGCGACGTTGTTGGGTTGGGTCCTCGTGAAGTTCACAAGCTCAGAGTCTTGGGGGCTAAGGCGCTTGGTATCTGGTGCCCAGGGGCTTCCATTGACCTCATCTGGGCCACGGAGAGCTCGAAGGACCCGATCAACCATGCTGGTGACACTATTGTAAGATATGCTCGTGAATGGTGGGAGGCTACAGACCCGCAGCTGCGGGCGTCTGATGGTTTAAGTGCTGGCACTCTCACCAAAGCTTTTCATGCGTGCTTAGAGACGTTGGTCGCGACACCTCCGAGTTTAGGCTGGCGCAGAAGAGGCACGCACCCTATTTTGGACGCTCTGTTGTGGGGTGTTGAGGCCGGGTGGACTTTCAATAACCAGGCTAGCTTCACATCAACGAGCGGTGTACCTGTTGGCATGACGGACTCGCCGCCAGAGCTGGTACGCAAGTTTTTCGTTCAGGATCTCAAGCAGAAGTATTTGGCAGAGAGCGTCAACAAGATAGTTCAGGATTGGGATCATCCAAGGGTGCTCGAAATTCAGGAGCGAGGCCTTTGGACCCAGCCCATTCGTTCGAGGATGCGAAGCAAAGGGTGTAGTTTTGCCCAGAAAAAGATTCTCCGAAAGGTTTTCTGTCGTGCGTACACCACTGCGGCTTCGCTAAATAGGTGGGGATATGAAGTTACCCCTTTCTGTAGGTTCTGTGAGGCCATAGATTCCGTGTGGCACAGGATCTGGATTTGCCCGCATGGGGCATCTGCTAGGATCGCGCTGGATCAGGACCTTCTCGAGGAGGCCCTCACGGCTGGCGAGCAGGACCCGCTGTTCAGCTCGCTGTGGATCCCTGTGCCCGAGATTGAGCTGGAGGCCCCAGTAGAGGACTTTGTCAGATATTTCGACGAGAATGGGCCGATTGACCCGTTCACCCTCCCGCACAACGCCAAGGTTTTTTCGGACGGTTCTGTCTGGGACCCGAAAACTGATGTGGGAGCCCGAGGGGGTTGGGCCGCTGTGGAGGTGGACGATGATGGGAACCTGATCAGGGGGCTGATGGGGTCCATCGCTCGTGGGCTTCCCCAAACTGCAGTACTTGCCGAGCACCATGGGTTGATGCACACGATAGAGCACCAGGACCAGGACCCCCCCCCAGAGGAAGAGGCTGATCTGAACGCGTTCGTGGATTGCTCTGCGCTTATTTGGGGCTCCAAGGACATGTTGAAGGCCTCGAGAGGTACCACGGTTCAGAGCGGCCACTGGAGGCGGATCAAGCGGGTGACCCCCAGGGCCTGGACCATTCACAAGGCGAAAGCCCATTTAGAGGAAGACTCAGAGGCCCAACCCAGGTGGAAGACACGCGGCAACAGTTGGGCCGATGTGTATGCCAAGGAAGCTGCGGGTTTTTATAGGTCCCCCTAGATGTGGCCACCATCACCGCGCAGTTTAAGAAATGGAACCAGGTTGCTGATTTCGCTGGGGCTGTCTTAGCAGAGTGGCCCCCAGCACGTGAACTGTTTGGTGAGCTAGGCAAGGCCCCGCGTGCCAGGCCTGAGAAGCTCAAGCATGTCTATCTTGCCCACAAAATCAGATGGATGGGCAATGTTTGGCAGTGTTATGATTGTGCCCGAACTTTTCGGACAGCGAAAGCGGCCGAGAGTTCGGCCTGTGGCCCCCTTGCCCCTTCTCTCCGCTCCCTCCTTTGCCCTCTTGCTCCCCCTTCCCCCCCCCACTCGTTCAGGGTGGCCAGGGTGCTGGCCACGGGGCAAGGCATTCTCTTCTGCAACCGATGTGGTAGCTACACCTCAGGCCGCCACCCGAGAGACTTAGTAGGAGGTTGCTTTAATGTTAAGAAGAAACAGGTGCAAATGCTCAGAAACGGTCGTCTCCCGTGACCCAGGGGCCCTTTGGGGCGGATTTCCCCTTTCTGGGCTCCTGGGGCCAGGCTCGCAGAGGGCTGGGGGTCTTTGTTCAGAGATGAGCACCCGCACCAATGACCATGGCCAGGTTGTTCCACGCACTCGTGTGCCAATTTGCCTTCTCTGATGTGGCAGATTCATCGTGCGTGTTGTCTTTGATGAGGCGTGCGCAAGGCATCGAGTGCCTTTCGGGCCGTGCGGGCCGTGCACCCTTCTCACGGATGACGTTCATGCACCTTTTTGGTTTGGTTGGATTGGTTGGATCATATGTATCTGGCTGACCGCCTTTAACCGAGGCCCCCTATGTGGTGCCGCGCCTCCTTCGCTCTGTGAGTGTTGAAGAGGCAGGATGTCCCAGGCAAAAAGGAGGAGGAGGAAGAGGAGGAGGAGGAGGAGGAGGAGGAGGAGGAGGAGGAGGAGGAGGAGGAGAGGAGAGAGAGGAGAGGAGGAGGAGGAGGAGGAGGAGGAGGAGGAGAGGAGGAGGAGGAGGAGGAGGAGGAGAAAAGAGGAGGAGGAGCAGGAGCAGGAGCAGGATGAGGAGGAGAGGAGGAGGGAGGAGGAGGAGGAGGAGGAGGAGGAGGAGGAGGAGGGAGGGGGGGAGGAGGAGGAGGAGGAGGAGGAGGAGGAGGAGGAGGAGGAGGAGGAGGAGGAGGAGGAGGAGGAGGAGGGGAGGAGGAGGCGGAGGAGGAGGAGGAGGAGGAGGAGGATTTTTTTTGAGCACTCGAGCTCTCGCTGCATGCTTAAAGTACACTGTACGTGTCAGAGAGTAAGGTGGCCCCTTTCGCTTTGGGATGGAGCCCCTTACAAATCTTATTCCAAGCGTCAGAGTTGTAAGCTGAAGCTTTCTGACCTGGACACGTCTTGCTGAGCGATGCAAGGCGGGCTCCACTAGTGTATCTCTGGCACACAGTACAAACGACAACAAACGAACCGTTCGAACAATCCATGAGGATACACTTGTGGTTTAAATCTCTAGGCCGCCTAACATCAACTCTCAAAGAATCTGAACAGTGTCCTGGGGCAGGCTCTTTTTCCGCGGCACTGCGCGACGTCCTGAGGCACCCTTGACAAATCCAAAAACGCTGGTCTCCCCCAGGAGGCCCGAGCCACTCCCACCGATGAGGCGAGGTAGAGGAGCGGGGGGCCTGAGCGGGGGACGACCACGAGGCACGCGAAAGGTCCGTGCGCGGCCACAGTGGCAACAGAGTAGCGCACAGTCTGACCGCCAGAAGAGCCGAATTCACAAGAGCAGTGCATTCGTTAGCTACATCCTCCGACGGCGCCTGGTGTGCATCAGCTCCCGTCCTGGCGGCCTTGTCGGCGAACTCATTGCCTATCCTTCGAAACCGCTCCTGCTCGTCGATCTCGGGATCGTCAATGGGAAGGTGTGCAGGCACTTTCTCACACCCAAGCGTCCATTTTTTCCCAAGAGAAAGACCCTGAGTCACAAGCCCCGAATAAGGACGCTTGGGTGAGATCTGCTGATGGTGGGCCATGCCGTGCATGGAAACTACATTCTGGCAATCAGAGTATAAAGTTGCTGGTGCAGACAAAAACGCACATGCCATGGTATATGCTGTAAAAATTCCTGCCTGAGAAGTCCGGGGGCAGCTGTCCCACACGGGGCCCCAGCTCCAGGCTAAGAGATTCGACTGAGGGCCCATCATCGCTAAACCCCAACCAACACGATTCGAGCTGCGGACCACCCGTCGCGAACACGAACCGTCTAAGAAAACGTGGCCCCACATCTGTCTGCGGCCGTCGCGGGGCATCTCCATGCCTTCCGCAGCAAAACCTTCAGGAAAAAACTGAAACTGAATAGCGTCGTTCCTCGGTTCTACTGTCGGACTTTGGGGGCGGGAGCACACTCTGGGGGTGGCCAAACAAACCAGAGGTGAGGTGGAACCGTTCTCTCTCAGGGACCGCTTCGAACTGTCTCAAAACCTGATCCAGCGCACTGCGGGGAATCACTGCACTCCTCTCCTCCTCCACCGCCGAACACGCGTAAAGTCTATGAAAGATCGTGCCTCCAGGCTGCAGGCATAGCGGGCAACGATCCTCGACTTCATAACCTGCTGCTCGAGCGCGGGCGTAGGGCCAGATTCCTTGACAGGCACAACAACGTATGGTTCCTTTCTGGCGAGCAGTAAACTTGTTTGATCGAAGGGCTTTGATGACGACGTCAAAACATAACGAATCGGCCCCTTCGGGGCCGTACTTGGCGGCCGCTTCCCTCTCCAAAGAACGCCAAACCCCCTCTTTGAGAAAAACCTGAAGAAGGGAAGGAGGCGTGAGCGTGAGAGAGTGCTCAACCCCCACGTCGCTAATCATAACAAAGGGCGAGGGCATGCTCCATCCCAAGCGGACCAAGGACAATTTCATGGCCCCGATGGGCCCGCTCACGGTCCTCCAGGTCCACGAACGCCCGAAAACATCGTGCCACATGTTTCGGAGCTCGGCCCAAGAAAAACAAACTTCCGAGACCCTCGTGGCACGAGCCCAGACTTCCTTGGCCCACCTGATGGATGGCGCCACAGCACCCCACCAAGCAGGATCTCCTTCAATCCTGCTAAGAATGGTTAAACTTCGGCCGCCGCAGGCAGGCTTCATCGTAGAGGCACACATGCGTCTGACTTTAACGAGTTCTCCGTCACTGATCCCGTGAACCTCCGCCCCATAATTAACACCCGCAAGAGGTCCCGCAGTGCAGAGCTTGGTAGCCCTCGGTCCTAGAACTCCTCTTTGACGAGCCAGCCTGCCAGCACGCCTAGAGGCTCTCGCAAAGCGCGTCTTCGCTCTGCTGTTGCGCCCACGGACTCGCCTGGCGCAGCCCGCAGTGTCATCTATCCCCAAAGTGACGAAAGACTCAGCCAAGACTCCTCCAAGCACCCCAAGTCGTTTCTGGACGTGCCTGGCGATTTCCTTGGAGGACGCGACCAACCCGACCTTGTCGGGGGAGACTTTCGCAAAAAGAACCTTTTTAATGATCTCCTCAAGGGACTTCGCCGCTTTCGGGAGTTCTATCATAATGTGTCTGGTGGTCCCTATCGCATTGATCCCGAGGTCGTCGATGTAAGCGTCGAACGTGATCCCCTTGGGAACCTCCAGCTGGTCGAATCCACGCAAGGCAAAAATCCTGATCATAGTGGTAGCAAAACTGCAGCCAGCTATGATTCCGACTCTCGCGTAAGTAGGAGGCGCAACCACTCCAGCAAGCACCAGGAAACGGGCAGAACGGCATCCCGCCATGCACACATCGGTGAGTGCATCAGGGAGGCCGCGCTGCCTGCATCGAAGAGCCAGAAGATCGAGAGGGATGCGCTCGTAATATTTAACAAAATCCCAGAGGAGAGTACAGGCCTCCTGCCCGCAGGCACGCGAAGACTCAGAACGGGCACTTTGCCTCCAAACAACATCACAAGCGGACTTGAATTTCCCCGCCGCCCAGTACTCTCTCTGGTGTTTCCCCTCCCACTCAACCGCATAATCTCTCCTGCATTTCCCCCGCAATCTGCGCAGGCTGGGGAATGCCACGATGGGGCGGAAACCAGTGGAGGGCTTCGGCAGCATAGCAATGATGGCGGCCTCCAGCTGCGGGGGAAGGGTGCCCGCGAGTTCCATCAACGTAAATAACCGCGAGAGGGCCCACAAAGCCCCGTCGGACATCACCGAAAAGTGTCTCAAATGAAACCCATCCAGGCCCGTGGCGGACCTATGGGCGAAAGCACGAGACACCTTGCGAATAATGTCCACCGAGATGGGGGGGAGGGGAGCATTAACTGTCCCTGGCCTTTTTTGATGTACAGGGAGCCCTTCCCGCAACTGGCGAAAACGATGAGCTTCGGCGGCCAGGAGCGACTGCGGGTCCGACACCACGCAGCCCCCAGCACTAAGCGTAGTGGATGGAGACCATCCTTGAGGATCTTTAGTGTAGCCGTGCGCCCTACGTCCACCCTGATCGACATTCTCGGTGAGCCAGTCCGCCCAGTCGCGTCTGGCCTTGGTGGCGTAGAAGGCGCTACATTGTGTTACAAAGTCGGTAACCTGGGTAGAGACCTCTTCGACTTGGGCTGCCAAAACCTCCAGAGCCTCCAAGAAGCTAGGATCAGAGCCCGACCCTTCATGAGGGTCCTCCAAAACCTTGAGGTCCAAAGTCACCGAGGAAACACGATCGTAAATAGCTTCGATCCCAGGGAACAAGTTGTCGGGCTCACACAAGCTTGGGGGGGGGAGACGAAAGAACGCACCCCACGTCCCGAGCCTGAGGCCAGCCCCCTCTCTGCACACAAAAAAACAGACGTTTGAACTTCGAGGCGAGCCAGCGGCAGGCGTGGAGCTGGGGGTACCGCACACACCCATGATCTTTACTAAGGATCGGCCGCCAATGGGTCCTGGGCCCCATGCCCCTAGACCCCAAGACAGGTAGTTGAACCCCGAAAGTCCTGGACAGTTCCTGTTCAGCAAGTCCCGCCCAAGACGCGTAAGCTTCACGAAATAGGCGAGCAGTCATAACCCCATCGCCCCCTCTCTTGGCTCGTATGAACGCTGCGTCCAGCTGGGCGTGCACGCGCTTATAGTCCATCGGCTCGGGCTGTGGTCCGAAGGGTACTTCCGATGGGAGAGGTGGCGGGCGCCTGAACGTGAGGTAGTGCATCTGAGCAAGTCCAGCGTGGAACTCGAGACAGACTGGGCTGTGCGGAAAGAAACCAGCGTCCTCGATAATGCGGACTTCAGCGGCTCCCTTGGAAAGCCCAGAAGACACCACGAAGTAGTCGTAGACTTTGCCCGCTCCAGCGTGACAGGTAGGCTTGCTGGGGTCGATGACTTGACCAACCAGGGTGCTCACGAACAAGGACTTGGCGAGTTCGGATGGCTCCAT